TTTCGGGCTTCTTTTCTATGTCTGTTCTTGCTCCTGTTGAATGGTGTCTGTTCCCCCGTGTTCCAATCTTTTCTCCACTCTGCCATACACTATCCTCACAAAGTACATTATAAAGTCGTTTACTGAGACAATCACTTCTATGAAAAGTGTCTCGGCAAAAGAAGGAAATGCTCCTATCTGCCTAGTAAACGAGGCGGTCCAAGGAAGAAGAAAAGGGCATCCTCCATCTCCCCGGAAGGAATTGTTCCACAAGATGATGCTCACAGTTCGACCATTCACCCGGCAGCATCCGGCTTCGATGAGTGTACGTGATGATGCGTAAAATCCTAGAGCTAGAATCAGCCAATACTCACTCAGGTACAGCGACGGGCATGTTTGGTCAGATCGATGGGCTGTCGGTACCAGGGGCCGGGCTGAGAAGCTTGGATTTCCCGTCGGATGTTCAGTCAATGTTCGCTGACCTCTTTATCCCCCACGATGCTGGTCATCCACCTGCACAAATGGAGCCAACCCCCTCGCCGTCTAACATATCAACCCAGTCCTTGGTAAGGACGTACGGCTCTGAACACGACATGTGGGTTTTACATTGCCCCAACCAGACTACTGGTCCCTTCTAATCTCCCAGGCAGACTCAACGCCTATTACGACTTTATTCATCATTATTTCCCTATCCTTCCGCCCAGGGCAGCCCCCGCCTCTCCAGACAGGCCATTGGATGCGGTTGGTTCCTATTCCGAATCTCCGACAGAAGAACCTCTTCTATTGTACAGACCACGGTCCCCTCTTAGCCTTGCTTTGTCTGCAGTCTTGGCCCTCATACCCCATCCGAGTGACTTGGAGCCCTCGTCTCCTGCCTCTGTTATCCGCCGTAGGACATATGCACATACGTTCTCCCAATTGGCCAATTCTAGCATCGAAGCAGATTGTGAGCTCCATGCCTCTTCTACCGATCCCTCACAGGCGCTCTCAAGTGAACGCCCTCTCATCAACAGGGAGAGCTTCCATCCCCATGCACCCGTGGAACTTGAATCTATTCTTGCGCTGTTGGTTCTCTCCGTATACGAATACACTCAGCGAGGAAATCTGCTTAAAATGCGATACCGTGCGGGTCAAGCATTGGCGATCGCGCTGGACATGTCTCTGCATTCTTTGGGAGAAGAGTATGATGAGTTCGCGGAAGCTCGTAGAAGAGCTTGGTGGATGACCGTATGTCTGGTTTGATTAGAATCATGTCTATTCCGCTAATCTTGTTTTTTACTATAGTACTACTGCGTTCTCCAAGGGTCGATTGTCAGCACAACAGTGAGTTTTTCCCCAGGAATATACCGCCTCTCTCATTCCTTTGATGGTTTAGCCGTTAACGAGGTCAACCAGCCGCTGGCCATTGTTGCGAATGATCCTCAATTTGTAACACCTTATCCGCGCTTTGCCGCTGATCCCGATGTAAGTTTTACCTGCGCCCTTTCACCAATTGGAGGTCCTGTGCGGACCTCAGCTGAAGGGGCGACCTTTAACATGATCTACAGGGTTGGGCTGTTCTGATGCAAGCTCAGCAAGTGCTAGTTTCAGCAACTCAGTTCGTAATTGACCTGAACAAATGTATTTCAACAAGGACCAATATGCCCTACATTTACGAACGGATGCAGCAGCTCGACGCATGGGCAAGCTCAGCATTGGCACAGTCTAACTTGCTTCCTATTGTTCCTCCGTCCATGAACTGTAGTGATGGTATGGAATTCACAACAGCTCAAAGTATACGTTCAATCTCACGGATCAAGTTATCCAGGTAGGTATTTGCATAAGAAATCACGTTCCAACATATCACTGATCTTATTCTAGCGCACAAATAAAAACCCACCGCTTTAGAGCATTTTCAGACATCCCTATCTTCATCAAGAAACATTGTGACCTAACCGCAGCCAACTCCAACAGCCTAGCAGCATGCAATTCTGCCAAGGATTCCAGAGCGCAGAATGGAATCACTGACATTCGATGCTCATGCGGAGGTTTGGAACCATTTCAACAGCCGTCGAGCGAATACACCCCTTCCACCGCTTCATCTACATCCTCGGATTATCAGTCGATCTCCCAATACTCGTTTACCAGTGGATTCCCATTCAGCATCCAACACTCTGCCAAAGTTTGCCTTAGGGCTGCTCTGCTGATCTCACGCATGTTCCCAAGTCTACCCATACCGCAACCAATTATGAACGAGCCAAAGAGCCCGCAGGGGATGACGTTACAACCACCGAACCAGCTTCCTCGAACTATGCCATCATTTGCCTGCTGTTTGATGCAAGGCAGCTACGCTATGCTAATGATATTCTACAAAGCGCGCGTAGAAAAGCAGCTGTCACCAGACTATGGGAATAAGACTACTCCCTCGGATCGATTGATCGAAGAACTCCGACAAGGACTAGAGCGAATCATTGCTACCGTGACCAATTATGCGGCTGCTTTTGAGGCGTTAGACGGCATGAGAGGTAGGTCTTATTCCTATGCATGCTCCATACATATCATGAGCGCCGCAGACTAACCATCAACCTAGATGAAATCGAAGGTGCATATCAAACGGCGTTCCCTCAACCGTAATTTTCTCTCTGGTTTCTTTATCCTATTGTCTTTTATTTCCTTTTAACTGTCGAGTTCGCTCTCATACCCATTTTACCGTTCTTTTGCTTCATCGCGGTGGGGCGCGATACATCTTTTCCATGGGGTTAGATATCTGGTACATCGGAATTGGGATGGATGGATAAAGTATAACTCAAACAAAAAGTGAACCCCTTATAATATTCATATACGGCGTTATATATCTTTGGGCAACGGAACACGGGGGTTTGCCTGTACCATTTTTAAATGACGATAACTACGAACAATCATCTCCTTTCAAATATTCTACCAATGGCGGCTATAATAGTATCCATGTCTGTAGAGCGCACCAGGTTCATAGGAAGGGTAAGATATTTCGCATCTATTATGTTCCCAACATTGTAATCGATATCTGTGCAGCAGAAAGCAAAGTATTCTATTTAAGATCCACCGTTGCATAGGAATGAGCTCTATTGTTTTTCTTTTTGCAACTCTCCACCCAAAGAAGTGTACAAAGTGTACGAAAAAAACAAGGCTGCCTAAGATGTGCAATAGCAAACCACACCAGGCTGGGGCAGGATTTAGTAGTTGTCAGTGGAGTGTTGATCGAGAGGGTATGTATGAGTGCGGAACTGTGGTTAAAGCTTTGAGCGGATTCCTTCCAATCGGAACTTTACATCCTTTAGAACCTTGCTGGTCGGTTTCCAGTCGTCAAACTGTCGTAGAAGTTCCATCGTTTCTTCATAAAGTTCGCGTCGGACATACTCTTCTTCAAGGAGGCCGCGCATGGCGAACGGAAGGATGTAAGGGTTCACGGACGAAGCAGGGGGGCTTCGCTTGATGCTAAGCGTTGCATCCTGGACATTCGACGTTTCCAGAGCAAATTCAATAGCCAGCCTAAGACAACATTAGCCTAATGAGCTCTAACTCGAGCAAAAGTAACATACCGATACACAGCTTCGTCATCATAGAGACGTGAGTGGCCTTCGCCACTATACAGACTACCTGCTAAAGGCGAACTCAATTCGCGGATCAGGCCGTGATCTGGGAGTCCAAGATTTCGGAGCTTAAGAGCAAACCCGACCAAATGTGATAAGCTGCGAGATATATCAGCAACGGCTCCAAAAACAAGCGTAAGCACTTGAAGTAGGAACAACATACAAACTTGGAGCATGTACTCTACCGTCGACAAATACTGCTCGGTAGACATACGGATGAGCCACCGGCGAAAACAGCGATGACTGCCATTAGAAACTAACATTAGTTGTTTCGCAAAAACTGCTGATGAACACTAGAGAGTACATACCTCTAGAGAAACGAGTTGGTCATCGATACTCCCTATATATGAAATCCGTACACCGAAATCAAGAGACGTTTTGAGCGCTGCCTCATAATCCTTTGAAACTTGGCTGTGAGGCAATGCAAATTCAAAAAGCTCACCAGCAGAGCCACTAATCCATCGTGATCGATAATCGGAGAAAGGCCCCATGTTAACACCAGCCATGGCACATACACCGACCCGGGAAGTGTTAAGGCACCCAAAAGATATTAACTTTGCAACTAACATTATTGCAACAGGAACACCCTGACTGTGGCATGCAATCAGTATGAAGTCTGCCTGCCTTATCTTTTCCATCCAATTGAGCAGTAGCTTCCACAATAAATCCACTCGCTCAGCAATGCGACCTTCGCCTTCTAACGCTATCTTTTCAATATCGCACGTATATGCATGATCATCTGCCCAGTTTTGAAGAGCATCTGCGGCCATATTCGAAAATCTGATAGATGTACCCGTCGGCTGACCAAGGACACTCCGAATTAACGGGGCGGGAAAGTACCCGTGTATTCCTATGGCCAATGCTCTTTTGATGGTTGGTGTGTCCTTAATCATGTAAACATGTCTATTGTCTGGCTCCTTGTTGTAGTGCAAGAATCGCCCTATCGTCTGTAAAAGACTAGGCTTCTCTTGCAAGGCGAAGGTGTCTCTGAAACGCGGAAGAACCTGGTTAGGTAAAATTTTCTGTAGATGCTTTGAAGCAGTTGCTTCGGACGTATTCACTGCAGGAGCAGTGGAGCTGGAATCTAGCCCAGAAACAACCTGTTCCGGAAGAGCAGAATTGCTTTTGGGAGACTTTATCTTAAGAGTTCCCTTCTTTGAGAGCTCTACTTTTTGCTCCGGCTCTGATTCAGGATCATCCTTGGGTTTCTGTATTATGGAATCCTGGGTAGTAGAGGCTTCAATGGACTGTACTTCTTGGGACTTCGCCTGCGAAGTGTCTTGTGAAGTGTCTCGGAACCAGAAAGACCAGCCTGATGGCTTAGCACTTTTAGTAGGTGCATCTGCTGAACTATCTGCGGTGGGCTCGTCCACATTTTCATTTGATATAGGTGATGTATAAACAGGGTGTGCCGATTCATCAACTGCTGGTGGATTCTCACGATGGGGTTCTTCTAAACCCTTTGACGATGAGGAGCCGTACCACATCTGGAGCCAAGATCGCTTCTGTGCTGTGTCGGCAATCTCTGCCGTTTCAGGAGGCTTTGTTTCGTCTGCTTGATCTTGATTAGCAGGTGCAGTGTCCTCCTCTTTTGAAGTCTGATTTTCCGCAGTTTGGTCCACTAGGGCTGGGGCTGAATCTTCCGGGGAATTATCAGGAAGGGTTTCAATCCTGGAGGGGGCCCAGACCCATGAAAACCACCCACTTGGTTGTGACGGCGTTTGTTCGTGACAAGCTTCTACCTCCCCAGACCCTGCATTCGTCTCAGTCGCAACATCCGGTTGATCCTTATCAATGCTGTGTCCCGTGCTGGCGCCTCCGTCATTTGACGACTCCTTAGTTGTTGATTCGGTTGCTGAAGCAGTAGAGTTGGGCTGGGCTTCTATTGCTGGTGAAGACGCAGTGCCATCGGATGCGATATTGATCCGGGTTGTGGTGGCGTCGGCAGGAAGGGAGCGAGTCGAAGGGCCAACTTTTCTTGTAAGTTGCAGAGAAGGATTTCGGGGGTGTTTAGGAGAGGCAAGCTGCGACACTGGCAAGGAAGTGAGACTTGAAGCTACGTTTTGGGCAACCGAGATGCTCTCACGGGCAACCTCGGTAACTGGGGCCGCTTTAGATGATTTGGAAACGGGCCAGGCTCCTGGGTACCAGTTCTATGAGAGCAACCCATAAATCAGCTACCAGAATACAGAGACAAAGGCAGTAGAATAATGCGCTTTGTAAAATTATACGAAATTCTTAAACTTACTCCACTACCTCCTTGTTTCAGTGAGCCCGAGCGTCCTCTGTCTATCGACGGTATTGTCGTCCCATCGTTTGATGATTGTGATTCCGCAACTGACGGAATGGACTTTACTCTCTTGCGAGAACCCGTGGGCGCCATGAAAGTAGAATGTAAAACATTACCATACCATGAACTGCACAGAATCTGTTGAGCAAATTTGGAGGACAGGGGCCTCCAGAACTACAGTAGTGGGAGATAAGCCATGGGGCGGTGGTGCCTGCTGATGATCTGCGTCGAGTCAAAGCCACGGGGGAAAAGAGAGAGATTTAGTCGGCCCAATAGAGGTGATATCACGTCACATGGAATCCCGATCCCTGACCGCCTTTGGTGCCTGGGGTTTATAGCTGTGGCTAGTGATCAGCCACCGCCACAGCTGACAGAAAAGGGTAAAAAAAAATTATTCTACGGGCGGTGTGGAGTCGAGATCCAGGCGGCCGATAACTTTTTCTCTCGTTTTTTATATCAATACCAGTCTACCAACATCATTCTGTCAATTCGGGTCTTTTTGTCGAGCCTACCTCGACTACCCGTCTTTGAAAATGGCGATCCAGAAGAAGGTACGCTGGAGAATTCTATAAAAATGATAGAAGATAACCCGTTTACTGACTACGAGTAGCATGGTAAGGGTCGTTTGGATAAGTGGTATCGCCTTGCGAAGGAGAAGGGGTACAGAGCTAGAGCTGCGTTCAAGCTGATCCAGCTGAACAAGAAATATGGTTTCTTGGAGAAGAGCAAGGTCGTTCTCGATCTTTGTGCTGCACCAGGTGTAAGTGTGGATGCATCTTTTGTACCAACATTATTCTCTAACAATACATAGTCATGGTGTCAAGTGGCTGCGGAGTGTATGCCCGCCCAAAGTATTATCATCGGTGTCGATCTCGCCCCCATCAAGCCAATTCCACGAGTTATCACTTTCCAGAGCGATATCACGACCGAGAAGTGTCGCACCACTATCAGACAACACTTGAAACATTGGAAGGCGGATACAGTACTTCACGATGGTGCTCCAAACGTCGGTACAGCGTGGGTTCAGGACGCGTTCTCGCAAGCAGAGCTGGTCCTGCAGTCGATGAAATTGGCTACGGAATTCCTGGTTGAGGGTGGTACCTTTGTCACTAAAGTCTTCCGGTCTAAGGACTACAATGCGTTGTTGTGGGTTTTCAAGCAATTGTTCACGTCGGTGGAAGCCACAAAGCCCCCCTCGTCTCGAAATGTCTCCGCCGAAATCTTCGTTGTCTGCCGTGGCTTTAAGGCACCGAAGCGCATGGACCCTAAGTTCCTTGATCCGAAGCACGTATTCGCAGAACTGGCTGATCCAACCCCAAATAACGAGGCTCGTGTGTTTGACCCTGAGAAGAAGAAGCGCAAAAGAGATGGTTACGAGGAAGGCGATTGGACGCAATTTAAGGAGATACCCGTCACCGAATTCATTAATACAACCGACCCAATTGCTATTCTCGGCCAATACAACAAACTTAGCTTTCAACAGCCCCTCAATGGAGATATCGCATTGAGCACACTCAACCGGTTGGAAGAAACGACGGATGAAATTCGCACGTGCTGTGAAGATTTGAAAGTGCTGGGCAAAAAGGAATTCCGCAACTTACTACGGTGGCGATTGAAAGTCCGTGAGAAATTTGGCCTTGTCGTGAAGAAGGGAGGGCAGGCCAAAAAGGATGAGCCCGAGGAAGTGGCCGAAATTGCCCCAATGGATGAAGAGCTGGCCATTCAAGAAGAACTGCAGCGCCTCCGGGAGAAGGAAAGCTCCAAGGCGAAAAAGGAGAGACGGAAGGAGAATGAAAAGAAGCGCAAGGAGATCGTCCGCATGCAGATGCATATGACAACCCCTATGGATATTGGTATGGAGCAAATTGGTCCCCTTGGAGATGATGCACCGTTTTCACTTAAACGTGTCGAGAGAGAGGGTGCCAGGGATACAATCGCTGCTGGGAAAGAAGTGGCGATTGAGAGTGAAAGTGAAGATTCAGAAACCGATGCCGATGCCGAGAGTGATGATGAAGGCGATCGACTAGAAAGAGAGCTCGATTCACTATACGAGCAATACCAAGATCGCAAAGAGGACAAGGATACGAAACTAAGAGCCAAGAAAGCCAGGAAGGATTTCGAAGCCGATGAGTGGGAGGGCTTTTCGGAGTCGGGTAACGAAGAGTCAGATAACGAAGACTCCGAATTTGGTTCAGCGAATGCGACGAGCGTTGCACCTCCGAAGAATGGAACACTGTCTAATAATGCTGCCATGTTCTTTGACCAGGACATCTTCCAGGGCTTAGAGGATGTTGATGACGTTGAGGATGAGGATGCTGATGAGGATAGTGTCATTGAGATGGGCGAGGACGACAATGACCATATGGAGATCGAGAATCCTGCTTCCAAGAAGCAGAAGGCAAAGGATGCGAAGACAGGCACACAAATGGTCTTGGACTCTTCGGATGAGGAACCTGAGGAACTCGATGAGCCTCGGAAGGAAAATGGTCAACTTGGTGAGTGTTACTATATCAGATTATACGGTTGTTTCTGTTGTTGCTAACTATAAACATAGACATCGATATTATCACTGCGGAAGCCATGGCCCTGGCTCAGCAGATGGCTAGTGGTGAAAAGAAGTCGCATGACGTGATGGATGATGGGTTCAATCGGTATTCTTTCCGAGATGTTGATGGTCTACCGGAGTGGTTCCTCGACGATGAGACAAAGCATAGTAAACAAAATCGACCCATCACCAAGGCTGCTGCGGCTGCAATCAAGGAGAAAATGCGTGCCATTAACGCTCGACCAATCAAGAAGGTCATGGAAGCCAAGGGTCGAAAGAAGTTCAAGGCTGCGCAGAAGCTGGAAAAACTGCGCAAGAAGTCTGCATTGCTGGCAGATGATGAGGCACTCAGCGAACGTGACAAGTCACAGGCCATTTCGAAGTTGATGAGCAAGGCGACCAAGAAGAAGCCTAAGCAGCAGGTGAAGCTGGTCGTGGCCAAGGGCAACAACAGGGGTATCTCTGGTCGTCCACGCGGGGTGAAGGGCAAATATAAGATTGTGGATTCCCGTATGAAGAAGGATGTCCGAGCCCAGAAGCGTCTTGCGAAGAAGAAACAAAAGTAAAGGGAGTGAAGGTCATAGACGAATATCATGCGTCGTGACCCGCCGGTGTAATTAAGTTCCAGCAAAATTTGATACCCATTTGAGGGGTGTGTATGTATAGAAACCGCATATTACAGCATTTTATATATATCCATGTACAGAATTGTTGTGTCAGCGAAATCCGTATGCTATGTGCTTAGATTCCATCAAAGATAATGTATACAGGGGAAAGCAACTATTACTACTAGTACACGCGGGGTGGGCGGCTTAGAGATCCGAGTCGACGGAAAGCGGGTGTGCCTAAGGTTAAAAAGACATGCGGCCCAGAGTGGCGGCGCTGAACCTTTATCGATCGCCGCTACTTTTTGGCTAAGGCTTTGCGCGGCTCTTTTCTTTGACATTTCCGCTCGGTCAACGGTCTTTTCCTTCTCTTTCTACCCTCTTTTAACTCGTTTTGCATTTTCGCGCTCGTTATTCCATTCTTTCAGATATTCTTTCTCTGTTTTTTCCAGTACATATGCTACCTCAAATATTTTAACTGCTCCCCCCACTTGTCCATATACCGTCACACATATTGGTTCTGTACAGTACATCCCCGCCTGAGTGCGGCGCGTCCAGCTTTACTCGATGGGATTCTTTGACCACCTCCAAAAAGGAGGAGGCTTCTCTTTACAACCAAAGAAGCCTCAGATACGTAAAGTTGTTCAGACACGGCCTGCGCCTCCTTCAAGGACGTCATCACTGACACCGGGTACATCATCGCGTGCCTCGCCCTCTGATAAGCCGAAGAAGATGCAAGGATCGGGGAGCAGGTCAGTCTCGAGAGATCCAGACCTTACATCTTCGAAACGGCGATTGAACACTCCGTCACAGAATCGAAAGCGACAAACTCCAGAACAGCGACTTTCCAGTGATGATGATTCCAGTGACACGGATACGTCGTTCGAAGTTCGTAAGCGCGCGAGAACGGGCGACAGTGCGGAGCCAGATTTTGAGAGACGGCTACGTTCCTTGAAGGCATTCTCCGAAGCAGGAGTTAAGTCATTGCCGATAGTGCATGCAGCTGACATCACATCTGTCCAAAAGGCGGGGTGTTTCAAACCAGCTTTTGGGGGCACGGGCCGGCCTACCGAGATATTGTTACAGTATCCAAGCGCTTCCCCGAAAGAAAGGTATGATATTATGCAAAAATAGCATTGATGGTACGCGGGATTTGCTAACGAGTTTACTTCGTACAACAGATACAACCTTGTTGTACCCCGTGACAAAGACGATTTTAGACCTATCGACGATATATTCCAAGTCATCGAAACTGTGTCACAAAATTACATATCGGAAGACGAGGCGGACTATTTTGATAATGAGTCGACTGGGATTAAGAGAAGGCTACGACGAGCGCTCGCCCACGCGTCCGAAGCGGAGTTTCGAACTGTTGTAACCGATTATAATGATGCGATTGAACGATTAAGGCGCGATGGTAGTATCGCAAAAAAACTAGACTCGACTCATCGGCTGAATTTGCCACTCGTCGAGAGGATTTTAACCCAAATTTATTCGCGCACTGTGTCACCTCGGGTTGAATCACTCCGTCAATATGAGAACGGAACGGACAATGTCTACGGAGAATTGCTACCTCGTTTCATCAGTACCATTTTCAAAGAGACGGGATTGAAGTCGGGCCAGGTTTTCGTCGATCTAGGATCTGGCGTGGGTAACGTTGTTTTGCAGGCGGCACTGGAGATTGGGTGTGAAAGCTGGGGCTGCGAAATGATGCAGAATGCATGTGAACTTGCCGAGCTCCAACAGACCGAGTTCAAGGCTCGATGTCGCCTATGGGGAATTGCACCGGGGAAAACACATCTCGTTCGGGGCGATTTCCTCAAAGAACAGAGTATCATCGATGTCCTAAAGCGCGCAGATGTCATCTTGATCAACAACCAGGCCTTTACTCCGCAACTCAACAACGAGTTGATCAACCACTTCCTGGACATGAAAGAGGGTTGTCAAATCGTGTCCCTCAAGTCATTCGTCCCTGCAGGCCATAAAATCCAGTCTCGGAATCTAAATTCGCCAATTAATCTTCTTAAGGTAAAGCAGAGGGAATATTGGTCCAACAGTGTCAGCTGGACCGACGTTGGTGGCACTTATTTCATCGCTACCAAAGACAGCTCTAGATTGAGAGCTTTTGCAGAGAGCATGGGGTGAGATGCCCGCCTATTCACTGCGCGGTCACCAACAAACTGGTTTTTGGGTATCTTTCCCCCTTCTTACTCTTGGTACGTTTTGTTTATCCTGGGTTGATAAATACTACATACAATTCCCTGTAGGCCTTTCTTCGGTGTATTATTTCCCTATTCTTACCTTTTTCTTCCTTATATTTCCTCTCTTTCTTGTTTCTTTTTGGAAATAGCTACTTGTCTTGAAGATATGATACCACTGTTCTTGTATAAATGTTGGCATGGTTTCTTCATTTCTTTGGGATGTCTGTTTTCGGCTCTTCACCTGTTGTGCCCAGGGGCCTCTTCTGTCCTCTCCTGAAATATTCTGGGTTTTCGTGGCACATCGTACAAGATACTGCATTGCTTGAATTGCGCGCCATCGGGAGTCGGTGAATAGGTGGGTATCATGAATATGGTATAGATAAGGTTGATATAGATCTGGATATAGACTCGAGGAAGCCCGCAATATTACCCCGGTCTGGGAGAGTTATAGAAACAATAAAAATTGTCTCTGCTGTCACAAATCTCGTAAAAATCAAGAAAATCGCGAGGCTTCGTTCATCGCCTCCGCTTCTTTGCCCATCCTTGCCATCCAACGGTCGACTAACTCCTGGTTTTCCTTCTGTAGCCTATTGGACCGCTCCTCAGCCATATTGAGCTGCAGGTTTAGAGATGCAAGCTCATCTTGGAAATCCTGATAATAGTTTAGTCAAGAGATCCGGTAGGGTACAGAGCAAAGTGTCGTACATCTAGCAATTTAGCTTTTCCCTTCAACTCTTCGTCCCTGTCCTTCAGTCGCAGTTGCAACTGAGCAACTTCTTTCTCTAGTGCACCAATACGACGTGAGTCCTGCGAGCTTCGTTTTCGCAGTTTCTCCAGCTCGGCCGTTGCGCGAGTAAGCCGATCCTGTAGCTCTGATCGGGACCGTTGCGCCTCAGATAGATCTGTGCGCGCTGCAGCTAGAGCATCCGGGGGAGAAAGTCCTGACGACGCTACACCTTTTTTCTTGGGGTCTGGCACTAGGGATTGGGGAATATCATTGTGGCTCTCTGTCGGGGCAGAGCTTTGGGTGCTATTGACAGCTGTTGCTATACGGCCGGTCCGATCGGCAAGTTGTGTATCTGTAGCAATGGATGATTTGTCAGTGAGAATGAGGAACCACGTGGGAATATTACGCTCCAGACACAGCTGTCCCTTCAAGGCGTACAGGCATTTAAGATAGCAACGTTGGCTTTTTCTCGTCGATCGCGAGCCGCCAGAGCGGCGGAGTACTCCTCTCTCCAGTGGGCCATTGATAATCACGATAAGCGCTGTCGAATAGAGCAGCTTTAAATCACGGATACATTGTGACACGAGTTAGTCACGCAGCAAATTAGGAACGCGGTACAGTTGTTACTAGTAGTCGGACCTGTACGGAAGGCCTTGTCAAGGGTTTTCGAGGTGTTCTCTAAAAGGAGACACGCACAACTTCTTGTACAGATAACGGTGGACCGTTGGTGAAATGATCGGACGATGCAGCAACACGTGCACACCGCCTGCTCCACCGCCCCAGCGTCATGCATCATCGAAACCAACCGCCTCCCATTAGCTTCGGCTCGTTACCGTCCAACTTAAGACTAGTACTACTAACTACTACTCCGGTCCTCTCTCTCTCTCACTCACTCACTCATCCTTCCCCAGCTACTTCACAACTATTTGCTAGGACAGGGGGAACTTACAACACCCACCAGATCCCCTCGATCTCCATACTCCATAGAGAGCTACTCACACCTTCCTTTTTCATTTGCGCCGCTTCATATTATCTCCCACCGCGCATACCGTCTTATCTCTACATAGCCACAGCCATGTCGTCACGGAAGAAGGTTCTTCTTAAGGTAAGGTCACCATGCCAGCGTTACGGCTAAACTACTCTTATTGACGTGCATCTTATCTTCTAGGTGATTATTCTTGGTGATAGCGGCGTCGGTAAAACGAGTTTGATGAATCAATATGTTAGTGACCTTCAGTGCAGGAGGATCATGTGTAGTACCGTATCCCGCTGACAACGATATCCGCCAACAGGTCAACAAGAAGTTTAGCGCCAGCTACAAGGCAACAATCGGCGCGGATTTTCTTACCAAGGAAGTTCTAGTAGACGACCGACTGGTAACAATGCAGGCATGTGTCCCATCAATTCTCGATACAACAAAACGGGTGATTAACCTGTGACAAATAGATCTGGGATACTGCGGGCCAAGAACGTTTTCAATCGTTGGGTGTTGCGTTTTACCGAGGAGCCGACTGCTGTGTTTTGGTATACGATGTGAACAACTCCAAGAGTTTCGAGGCTCTGGACAGCTGGAGAGATGAATTTCTTATCCAAGCAAGCCCGAGAGATCCTGAGAATTTCCCTTTCGTATGTTTCCCTACTTAACTATTCCTTCTTTTTTTATTTTTTTATTTGTTAATTTTCTATTCTTTTCTCCTGCTTTTGATTTCCGACTCAAGGTTGACAATGATATAGGTCGTTATTGGTAACAAGATCGATGTCGAGGAGAGCAAACGAATGATTTCCTCGAAACGCGCTATGACGTTTTGCCAATCCAAGGGCAATATCCCTTACTTCGAAACTAGTGCCAAGGAAGCTGTTAACGTTGAACAGGCTTTTGAAGGTAAGTCGGTCCTCTTCAACAGCTCGCTCGTTCTTCATGTTCCTGCCACATGCTGACGCACACGCAAGTCATCGCTAGGAGTGCTTTGGCGCAAGAAGAGGCCGAAGAATTTAGTGGTGAATTCAGTGACCCTATCAACATCCACCTTGATAGTGAACGCGATGGATGTGCCTGTTGATACCCTAGTGATGGACATGACTTTTCAATGATTTACAATCCATGGCCGACATTTGCAGCTTTCCGTTTGCATTTTGAGTTTCTTTTGTAGAGATGTTGTTGTTTCCTTTCTCTGTTGTCGGGCTTGGGGAACGGGTTGTTTCCCCCAAATGCTAAGTCTATATATCTTGGGAATACTTCATGTATGAAGTTCCTATCTCATGCGTTGTCTGCTGGGTCGCATGGGGATATCCTTTGCCAGTCGTGTTTTCTTTTTCCTAGTGTTTACAGCCAATGTCTAATCATATTGTTTGAGGAGTCTGGAATATAACTATTTTGAGATTGGGGTTGCCAGAGTACGTACCTACTAGTAGTATCATCACGAGGGAACAATGAATGTCCGGGACCCTGTCGATCTATTCCCAAAGGCGCAATAGACAATGGTGATATCCCGTGATCCTTAGGCGGTGGGCCTTCCGCCGAACTACGTTATCATCCATGGTCTGGGGTTAACCCCATTTGTTTCTTTTTTCCCCCTTTGACTCTAGGACATCCCATGATTAATTCACAGGGTGGTCGCGTCACCTGCTGGCACAGCTGAGCTCTATCTGTGCTTCCACAATTGCGCTCCGTGATCCACCCTGAACTCTTTCGTTATCCTGAGCGCTGGCCTTACGAGATACGTCTTGCCTCTCCGGTTGGGTCCGAAGCGCGAAAAAGTACTCGATTGATAATCTTGATGAATGGGGCTTCTACAAGTTTATCTACACGCCGGCGTCTTCACCTTTCGATCTTTTGTACATAGTTTCGTTGGCTAATACTCTCCATGGATACCTTTGCCAGAATGTCCACTGGTGTCGCAAGACGAACACTTGGCATCGGGTTGCTTCTGATCGTAGTCGTTCTGTGGACGGCTTCGAATTTCCTGGCTAGTGTATGCTGACCCTTCACAAACATCTTGATGAAAGCACTTCTTCTCTCTGTGGGTCTTCATCCTGAGTCGCGCACATACTGACCTGCGTCCCAGACGATATTCGCCGACGATACGTACCCCAAACCGTTCTTTGTGACGTATATTAACACCTCGTTGTTTATGCTTCCTCTCTTTACGATAATCCTTGGTCGGGTCTGGAGATTATGGCGTTCGGGAAAGCTCTCCCAGATACACTCGTTTCAAAGTTTCTTGCGGCACATTGATTCACATGATCCGGATGCTGAAACAACAAGGCGGGACAATGCTTACGAGCCCGCAGACCCTGAAACATGGAATACAGCTACGTTGGATTCAGGAGGAAAAGAAGAGGAATCTGTCAAGCTGGGCTTGAGGGCGACTGCAAAGTTAAGCCTGCAATTTTGCATGTTATGGGTAAGAATCTGTCCGATATGCGAAACCCCTATACGGCTATACTAACTTGAAGTAGTTCCTTGTAAGTAACTCGAGACTGCGGAATACCCTACGCTCCATGATCTGACGCAGAATGCACAAACAGGCAAATTACTTTGCCATGGCTTGTCTGCAATACACGACCGTAGGTAGCACCACCATTTTGACTTCTACCAGCGGTATGCATCAATCAACCAAATCAACTTTGAGTAGAATTTTTAACATCTATGGTTACAGGTGTGTGGACCCTGATATTCGGCGCACTCATTGGTGTTGAAAAATTCACTGTCCGCAAACTCGCCGGCGTCGTCGCCTCCTTGGTGGGGATTATTTTGATATCCCGTGTTGATCTATCTGCATCAGACTCACCCCCTGCAGATGATGGCAGCGGCGGCAGGTTTCCGAACAAAAGCTCCACCGAGATCGCGCTCGGCGATGCCATGGCCGGATTCAGCGCGGTCATGTACGGAGTGTATACGATTGTATTAAAAAAACAAGTCGGAGATGAGTCCCGAGTGAACATGCAGTTATTCTTTGGTCTCGTCGGACTCATTAATATGATTCTCATTTGGCCCGGTTTCATTATAATGCATTTCACCGGAATCGAGACATTTGCACTTCCTGAAACAGGCAAAGTTTGGACTATTATTTTGGTACTAGCTTCCCTGTTCCTCTCTCATATACATGATATCCGAACTATACTAACATCTGATCTCTGAAGGTTAACTCCGTATCCTCGCTTTTATCTGACATCTGCTGGGCCTACGCTATGCTCTTGACGACTCCTCTCGTCGTCACCGTCGGCCTCTCATTGACCATCCCTCTCTCCCTTGTGGGCCAGATCTTCCTTCAAGGCGTGACGTCGAGCGCGTTGTATTGGGTCGGCGCTGCGATCGTGTTCCTGTCGTTCTTAGTTGTGAACCATGAAAGTAAGGAGAAGAGTAATGAGGAAACGTCAGCGGGAGACTATGATGCTGTTCCCGGAGAAGAGACGGAGAGGTGATATACATCTGATCTCAGGGCAACTAATTAGATTAAAGTTAGTCCAGAATAACAGAATCTAACCGTATATATACACACAAATCGCCAATTCGTTAAAAAACTATCCTTTGTTTTCCATAAGAATAGAACAGAACATAAGATTACAATAGGACCCTATCACGTGGCAGATAAGAGAGAACAATAAAGGACGCAAATTATCCAACCCGCCACTGGAAAATAGCATTGCGGCTTGATACCTACTCCACCATGGTGATTTCTCGGTATGCAAAATATTGCCACCGGTACAGGGGATTAAATAAACATCGGTAAAATCAACATTATCAGCATTATTCAAAAATCGGGGGTTTTAGACTGATCACAAGGGGAAAAAAAGAAAATAGATCTATATCATCAGTAAAGTCGGGTATGTATGTCGTAAACAGATCAATGAGAAAAGAGAACACAGTTGACGAAGGTATATAAGGTGTGCAGTAATTCGACAATGAAGAGAATTTGTTAAGGAGAGACACAATGAAGGAAGTGGAAAAAGGGAGCGACAATCGGACTGTTACCAGACCCGTCGGGTTATTATTGTTGTACAATTGTTCAGGCTGCTGCTGCCGCCGCCGCAGCTCCTGGCGTGGTCTCTGATTCGAGTTTCTTGCGAGCGACCAGAACGCTCTTTAGGGACCCTAGCCACTTTGCTAGGGATTCTTCATCGTCCGCGCAGAGACGATATGATTTTTCCTCTTCGATAACTTGGAGACAGTAGAGTTTTGAACGAGATATTGGGTCAATTTCTGCGGCATCGAATACCTGGTCCATGGGAAGTATCTTGACTGCGGAATACTCCTGTGGAAGGTAGCCAGTCAGTTTTCTTCTAACTCATTCAGTACGGCAGAAAAGACCTGAGATATAGCAAAAGTGGATTGGGTTAAATCTCCATACCTGTTCGTCCTTATAGAAGCCAAGGCTCTTTGGACGTAAAACAACCCATAATCGTTTCCACTGGCGCACCCCTCCCTTAATGCGAAGACACTGAAGATACCCATTGCAGATAACTCTCTCCGGGTCACGCCGAGTATTTGGTTCCTGGGTCCGATCCATATCGCGTGCAGAGATGGGCTGTGCACTCGCTGGAGTAGACACAGGTAAGTTAGGAATTGTTGAAGTTCTTGAAACGGGGCGAACACTGGAGTTGCTCGCTGGGCCATCGGACCATTCTGAGTAAGACGTAATATCATGTCCCGAGAAATTCTGGTGGGCAGTGAGACGTCCACCAGGGGAGCTTGCCCGTCCGAATTCAGGCGAGCTGGCCCTTCCCATATGCTCAACATCCGAGAAATCGGTGGTATCATCGATCCGTTGCTTGCTAGTTGCTGTATTGTTTCCTTTCATGGAAAGGGCCAGAAACGCCTCCTCTTCCTCGTCTATGCGAGTTTCGGCACGAATGCGCTCGATCCAATCCTGCGCATCTTTTTCCGACAGAGCCTGGAAGCGATAGTTCTTAGAAGGGGAGAATATGCCAAAAACATGCTGGCGATTTGACCGAGGAGATTTAACGGGAGCGATCGCGGTTACTTCTGATAGAGTAATGGATAGTCGCAACCTTGTCGCTTCCTCATCTTTGTAGACTGATAACAGATTCGGGCGGAGAACGAGATAGGCTTGTTTCCAGGAGGCCCTGAATGCCTAAACAACCAGAGTCAGCGGTGGATTGCAAGGTGGATGGGGAACGAGGCTGACATGTTTATGTTTAACCCGACGATGCACCTTCCCAGTTTTCAAGACGCGATCGAATTCGAAGCTTCCGTTTTCATTAACTGGCGAGAATGTGTCTAGATTGACATGTCCATTCCGATGGACGGTCGGGGACCGGAGTAGAGTAGATTGCTTGACGGTACCGTCAGGAAAATGAATCGCTGGGGCTTTGACATGCCCCTCCGAGGTCGACGGGCACGAGCTTGTCAACGGCTGGTGCATCATATCGAAGGGTAATTATTGGTGGTAAGATATAAAAACCAAGTACAAATCGCGATCTAGTGCAGCTCAGGTTTATCAATGCAAATATAGTAACGTTATAGTTGCAGCGCGCATATATCGACACATCTGGACAACTAGAGAGAGTAAGCCTCCATATATAGCAAATGGGGGGCCTACACAGGCTGAGAAGGTGTAGGCAGAAAGTATAGTAAGAGAAGAGGGCGGGTAGCAAATCATAATGGTCTTACAATATAAGTCAAGGGAACAAGTAGTAGGTTACCAACAGGACATGATGGAGAGGCTGTGTCAAGAGCAGCGCCGAATGGAAAGACGAACTAAATGCGGCAGGGGAAAAGAAAATAGAAGAAACGGAGAGCGTATGGATAGATGAAGACATGGAATTTCCCCGGCCAAAAGTGCTTCAGCAAGCGCCCATTACTCGAGCATGTGCGCTGCAGAGTGATGTCCGGTGGTTGAGACGATTGGAGAGTTGGACTGCTTTTTTAGTTGTCGCGCAGGGGGGCGCATGGACGTTTCAAAGGTCATGGAGGAGTTAATCTTAGCAAAAGTAAGGGCGGTGGATGATTGTCGCAGGTGCTGTTTCATCCGTCAATCAATTTATTCGCTCTTCTTTTGTTGCTGGTCATCAGCGCGTCGTTTCCTCCCACGTGATGGAATCCCTTTTCAGGACAGATGCTTTTTTTTTGCTTTTTTTTTTTTTTTTTCTTTTTCTTTTTCGTTTTTTGTTCTTTTC